GCGCACTTGGCGTGGTGCATCTTTTGCTTTAGTGAAGAAAATGGGGTTTTAGGGTTTTAGGGTTTAGGGTTTAGGGTTGGGGGTTTAGGGCTTTAGGGTTTAGGGTTTAGGGTTCAGGGGGGTCCTGCTGAATGTTGCCGTTATGCGGGGGCGCATAAGAGCCGTGCTCCTGAAACACGCGAGTACTTAAAGGATCATGGGACTTAGTAAGTAGGGTTACAACTAAGGTAACTATACTTATATCCCCAATTCAGGGACTTATAACCTTAATTACCTACTAAGTCCCATGATCCTTGAAGTAGATGGAGGACGGCTGCGCTTTTTTCTCTGTCCTTCAGAATCTGCCAGCTCCTGGGGGATAGGATTCTGGCCGGGCTCCCGAATCCATTTCTATTCTCGCCAGTAGGGTTTTACGTTCCACTACAGGATCTAGACCCTAAACCCTAAACCCTAAACCCTAAACCGTTTTTTGGGGCCAGGGCATGAAGGAACAGGAGCACGGATACCTAAACCCGAAACCCTAAGAACCTACAAAAAAGTGGGTTTTGGGTTCTTAAGGTAAACCCTAAACGTATGGATTGCCGGGCAATGAAAGCGCGGTAGGAGCCCGCAGAATTCTAAGAGTTTCCGGCGTTCGAAGTTAAGGTTCGAGTTAAGGGCGTAGGTGTTAGGGTTTAAGGCTTAGGGCCTAGGGTTTAGGGTTTAGGGTTTAGGGTTTCAGGCTTAGGGTTTAGGGTTTAAAAGGTTTGGGGTTTAGGGTTTAAGGTTCAGGGTTTTGGGTTCAAAGTGTTTGGATGCAGAGCTATTGGACCGGTTTACTTCACCTCCCGTGTTTGACGCCACGTTGAGGCCGCCAGAAAAACACCCTCCTGCCCTAAGGTTCTAAATCAGATTATTATTACCGTTCGTTGTTATGATGATGATGATGAGGTTGAGGGTTGTAATATTTGTTTTACTTTTCATATACTTTTTCTATATGGCTATTGTTTTTTTAATTTTTTTATCGTGCTATTGTTAGAATTACAGTTATTTGTGAGATTGGTGTGATATCTACAAGTATTACTCTTGTTGTTGTTATTATCGTTAATTGTCATTATTCGTCTTCTAACCCGTCAAACCAAGGTCTGCATTGCTCTGGGCTTGTCTTTCAACTACTACATCAAGCCTGCCTGCGGCCTAGTTGGAGTGCTGAAAGGTTTGGGTTTAGGGTTTAGGGTTTAGGGTTTAGGGTACCCTAAAACCCGAAGCCCTAAGCTCTAAACCCCGCATTCCCGAAACCCTCAAACCTAAGCCGTAAGTCTCAAGCATCTGCGCTCTCGCGCGTAGACGCAAGCCCTGCAAGCTGCAGCAGCAGCCGTGCTCCCGAAGTTTTTTTTTTAGGCCGAGCCGAGATCCTGGATATCCCGAAATCCGTGGAAATCTTGAGTCTGAAGTCCCATCACCCGTAAGCCATGAACCTCTAGAACCGCTATGGCACGCCGCAACCCTTGCAATAATCTGCCAAGCATCGCACCAACGAAGAAGCTTATGGTGACCTTCGTAACAACCTCTGTAGCCTTAGAGCACGCCTTGACCTTCAACCCAAACATAAGATCGGTAACATGCCGAGATGTCGAAGCTTCAGCGGAGGGTCTGAACCATAAGCTCTTCGGTCTGAAACCCCTGAACCCCAAACCCCAAACCCGAAGCCCTAAACCCTAAACCCTGAGCCTTAAGCCCTTAACCCCTACACCCTAAACCCTAAACCCGACACCCTGAATCGACACCCCTAGGTCTTAGACCCAAGCCCCAGACCCTAAACCCTAAACCCTAAACCCTAGACCCTAAACCCTAAACCCTAAACCCTAAACCCTGAACACTAAATCCCAAAGCCCCAAAGCCTGCCTGAGGGCATGCACACCTTGGAGTTCGGGGAGAGCTGCCCTGCCGACATGGGTTTTGCTGGGGCGAAGTCGGAAGCAGTTTCGCTACTATAGGGGCTTTAATAATTACCTGGATTATTTTGGGAGTTCCTTACTATAATTATAGTATAAGCTCCTTTATTAAACCCAAAGCCCCGAACCCGAAACTAAGGGTCCAAAGGGTCGAGAATGAAGAGTCTTTGGATCTCGGGCTGTGCATTTGGAGCTGGTGATCTGGGTTGGGCGTCGAAAGCCATGGCTAGCCATAGACTCGGCTAGTAAGCACAGCGCTGGCAATGTCAAATCCCTGGGTGAGTGGTGGTGCGATGATGACGATGAACATGGTGATGATGGCCTAATGAGTGAGCATGAAGAAGAAGATGTTTGTTCGACAGGGGCCACTTGAGGGACTGTTGAGCCGTTGCAGTTGCACGCCTTCGAAAGTCTGGACATGGGCCTTTCGCTTTTCAACTTGCCATCTCCTTCTCATGTCTACGTTAGCTCATGTTCCTTGCAGCACCGGGGGCAGACCACTTTGACAACAGAGAGTGCATGCCGTTGGGATGGCAGTTTATGTTGCAAACCCTACCCTCTACCCGCAGCCCTAAACCAAGACACTGGGCCGCCCGAGGCCTGCAAAGCGAAGTCCCCGTTGCCAGGTGCCACAGCTTCCTCCATGATGGACACCGTGGGATATTTTGCCACCGTGGCCTTCCAGTTCTCGACATCTGTTGCTGGGCCGTCACCACCGCCACCAGCACCACCACCATCATCATCATCGTCACCATCATCATCATCATCATCATCGTCACCATCATCATCCTCATCATCATCATCATCGTCATCCTCCTCCTCCGAATCATCATCATCATCATCATCGCCATCGCCATCGCCATCGCCACCACCATCGTCATCGTCATTATCATCATCATCATCATCATCATCATCAGCATCATCATCAGCATCATCAACATCATCATCATCATCATCATCATCATCATGATCATCAACATCAGAATTAGAATCAGCGCCACCATCAGCACCACCATCATCAATGACGCTCGATGGTACCGTTATCGCGAAGATGTTCAGCAGTTCTAAGTCTAAGTAGTGTCGACATGCCCGTGATGAAGAAGCAACTGTTAATGATGAGTGCTCTTGTTGTCGACGCATTGTTAACCCCAAATGATGGGCAAGGAGGGTGGCCGTGATGATGAAGACAAGGATGATGACTTGTATTGATTAGTATCGTAAGGCCTCAATGTATTGTCATCTTTGCTAACATTGTTGCAAATGAGCCACTACCCTTAAATAAGACTGTTCTTTTGCACATTTCACCATTACTGCTCTCGCCATGCCGACACTTTCCGTTGCTATCTTGATTTCAATGTACTGTAGCCCTAGACCCTCATCTTGAGAAAAGATCATCTTCCGAAAGGAAGAACTTCTGAGCTGGATGTGGCTCTCGATGAACGCGCCAGTTGATGTGCTGCACCTTGAATGCTGAGACCATGTCATGTTCTGGAAAAAGGCAGGGTAAAACATGTGTGCAAAAAGCACTGAAACCCTAAAGCTCTAAACCCTAAGCTCAGCTTCAGCGCCGGTTCGACTGTTCGCGCTTCTGGGCTTAAGGGGACCCGAAACCGAACCGGCCATCACGGGCTCTCTAGGCTTAGGCCCTGGACCCCTCAACCCAAAGCCAAAGTTGAAAGCACAATGCTTCCGCCCAGGCTCTGTTTCGGAATGGAGGATGGTTTCAAGAGCTGGGTGGGTCCGCCGACTCAGGAAGTGCTTTCCGTCTCGGGGTTCCGGGCGGAGGGTTTTTTTTGTTGTCCTCAACGTTCTTATTTCTATTTCGATTTCTGTTGTCACTATTGGTGCTATAACTTTTGTTGTTCTTGTTATTGTCAGAGTTTGGGAGGCTGTAGGGCTTAGTCCGCAGATGTTCACCCTTTTGACTTATCATGCCACCATTCATCCGGAACCACGCATGAGTAGCTCTCTAACTTAGGGCCCCGTTTGAGGTCCCCAGTATATTAAAGGGGACCCTAATTTAAAGAACTACCCTAGACACAACCCCTAAACTCAGTCTTGCCGAAGCTCTGGGTTTTTAGGGTTTAGGGTTTGTGTAGGGTTTAGGGTTTAAGGTTTGTTTAGGGTTTAGGGTTTGTTTAGGGCTTGTTTAGGGTTTAGGGTTTGAGGTTTGTGTAGGATTTGTTTAGGGTTTAGGGTTTGTTTAGGGTTTGTTTAGGGTTTGTTTAGGGTTTAGGGTTTGTTTAGGGTTTGTTTAGGGTTTAGGGTTTGTTTAGGGCTTGTTTAGGGTTTAGGGTTTGAGGTTTGTGAGGGTTTGTTTAGGGTTTAGGGTTTGTTTCGGGTTTAGGGTTTGTTTAGGGTTTGTTTAGGGTTTGTTTATTGTTTAGGGTTTAGGGTTTGTTTAGGGTTTGTTTAGGGTTTGTTTATTGTTTAGGGTTTAGGGTTTGTTGAGGGTTTTGTTCAGGGTTTAGGGCGAAGGAACCCGCTGCCAGCTTAAGCTCCCGAACCCCACAGCAGCATACCAAGACCCTAAAACCCGACAAGAAGAATCCCACTCCTGGAGCCTACGACTTCAGCGCAAAACCCAAGAAGCTGCAAGCACCAAAAACCTGGTCACTAAACCCTACTTCTAGCTGTGTGAGACCCTTTCAGCTGTGCAGAAAGTCCATGATAATCCTCGAAGCAACAGTCTGCAAATCCAGCATCAAGAATTTTCAGCGATACCAGACCCTAAACCCTGACAGTTGAGGCTTAACCCTAAACCCTAAACCCCGTTCCCCAACTTTCAGCTGAGGCCATGGGTACACATCGCGGCAGCTTTAGTGGGCTGGGTGCTCGCCGGGAGCTCAGAGACGTGTCGGGGCGGCCAGCTGCGGGGTACAGGGGTTGAGGGTTTAGAGTTTAGGGTTTAAGTTTAAGGTTGAGGGTTAAGAGTTTAGGGGTTTAGGGTTGAGGGTTTAGAGTTTAGGGTTTCGGGTTGAAGGGTTTAGGGTTTAGGGTACAGGGTTCAGGGTTCAGGGTTTAGGGTATAGGGTTTAGGGTTTAGGGCTTGCATGATATGCACCAAAACCCCAAACCCGAAACCCCAATACAGGAATTACCTTTTCTATTTTTGGGGCTCCTTATGATTTTTATACTATAAAGGACCCCAAAACCCTATTGAAATTAGTACGGCACCTACGTTATTCTGAGTATCTCAGGTTCTTGCATCGAGCTCTACAGCTGCAAGCTCTGAAGCCCCGATCCCGTCAGCCTTAGGCTTAGGGTTCAGCGTGACCCTTCGAGCTCCACGTCCACCCTCCCTCCCCCCAACAGCTTGTGCGCAGCAGCCCAGAACCCCCGAATGCTCAGATTCCGACTTCAAAACGCGCTACACATACACCGAAATCCCGCCCCCTAAAAATGGGAAGACTCCTAGACCCTGCAACCTGAATTCTAAAACCCTAGGCCTTCAAAGTCTTCTATTCGAGTTTTCGTGCTCAGGTCATGAATGTGGGCACGGCTTCTCGGTCGCCTCAACACCAGAATGAAGCTTGTGACGCTCGGGGCACAAGGTTGGTTGAGAGTTTCTCTTCCTGGGCATACGGCTTTTAGGGCAGTGGTGGCTGAAGGCTGTCGTTCTCGGGAAAGGTTGCACGCGTGAAGTCCTTCGCAGGGGAGCACAGTCCCAAGTACAATCTACAATCTGAAGCAGCTTTTCTTGAACACCAGCCCAGCTTCGTTGCGGCACGTAGCTGCGACAGGCATGCATTTGTGCGCAGGCTTTGGCCGCGACCCGGTTTTGTGATCGAGAAGAGAGTTTTTTTACCAATGCAGCTTCGTGGTGCTTATCGAACCGTTCATCGAGTGCATATAAGTGAGTCGAGTGCATGACGGTGCCACTTCGAAAGCACCGAGCAAGAGGGTTTGCGCTTGCAGCAGCAGAGCCTGCAACACAGGCATGGGAGCAGCAAGCAAGGTGCCAGGCATGATGCAGGAGGTACTAGGTGTTCGAAAGCAGTAGGTAAATAGTGATGGCGGCGCCAGCAGCAAGAGTTTGTCACCAGACCCCCCAAAACCTCACCCCCAAACCCCCGGAACACAATTCTTCAACGCCCGGTACCAATAAACCCTAAACCCCAAAGCCCTACAACCTAAAACCTAAACCCTACAACCCTAAACCCTAAAACCCCAAAACAGCACTAAACCCTAAAAGCCTAAACCCTTAAACCTTAAAACCCTAAACCCTAAACCCTAAGCAGGTTGCCCTCTTCCTGGAGCGCTACCCCGGCTCTCCGCCGAAGTGGCGGGACCTGCGGGAGCAGTTTTCTGGTCGAGCCCTTCGAATCGGCGCCCTGGCGAAAGCTTAAGGCTTAGAGTTTTAGGGTTTCGGGTTTAGGGTTTAGGGTTTCAGGGTTTAGGGTTGCAGGGTTTAGGGTTTAAATAGGGTTTAGGGCTGAGGCTTTCGGGTTTTTTAGGTTTAGAGTAGTTTCTTTTCTTTTTTTGTTAGGTTTAGAGGTCTAGGACATTTTCAGGTGGGTAGTTACCGTTATTGGAGCCTTTTGGAAGGTCTATATACTTCTATAGAGGCCTTATAGAAGCACTACATACCCTAAACTCCCCACTTGTAGTTTCCTTTAAACTGAACCCCTAAACCCCTAAACCCCTAAACCCCTAAACCCTAAACTCTAAACCCTAAACCCTAAACCCTCTGTTAAAAACCCTAAACCCTAAACCCTAAACCCTAAACCCTAAAGGGGTTCGGGTTCAGGGCCGAGGATGGCCTACTTTGCTTGCGTCCGCCGGGCCGGGCTTCGGCTTCCGGACTTTTGCATCGCAGGCTTCGGTTCGTGGGTTTAGGGTTGGGGGGTGTGGGCTTTAGGGTTGAGGGTT